TAATTACATGTATACAATTTTGTACAAGATTTCTATATTTAAAAACCATATTTCGACTGCGTTTGTTTCCTGGTCAGCCTATTTTGTGCCCATTGATTCTTTAATTCCATCTCCATGGCCTTAGCTTGATGCGCTAAGTACGTTATTTGATGCTTCTTCTTAGATTGCGAATTCACCCCTCCACTTTGCATAGAAATTGGTCTTTGTACAGGTTCCTCAGTCAAAGCTTTCACTAACCACTCCCTTTCGTCAGGTTTGATATCTTCTCCATTTATTTCAATAACATTTGCTTCTTCGATTTCTTTAGGTTTTCGTTTCATTCCTCTTCTCCCACAGAGATACTCAATAGCTTTATCATCAAAGGCCACGTTTCCTTCTATATCTACATTATATTCTTGTTCAGGTATAGGTAATTTTGGACCTACTTCTGCTTTGTTTTTTAATAATATCTCTTCTTTTGGTAAGTTCATAATATTGCTCACTAACGTTTTTTGAGGATTATTAGTTTTTGTTATATTTGGATCAGAGCTATCTGCTAAGTAGACAAATGTGCTATCAGTCTGTTTGGGATCATTCTCAAGTTCCGAATTGAACTTACTTAAACCTATGCTGGTATTTGAGGATTCTGGCATATCCAAACCAGCAACACTATTAGTTGCTTCTAAAGCAAAGAAATCTGTAGTGGAATTCTTACCACTATTTGCAATACTTATATCATCTTCATCTTCAGAGTTAGAATCATAACTTACACCTAATGAACCCTTTGTTGTTAGTTTTGTCACCTTTCGTATATTTAAATCTTTAGTAGACATGTTTGTAACAGGTTGAACTTTTGGCTGAGCAGTTTTAGCAGTTGTTTTTACAGCACTAGGAATTAAACTATTAGTACTTTTAACATCTGTTCCTTTAGGTGGTGGTAAGAGTGCAAACAGCTTTGTTCCTTTCTAAAAAAGTACATGTAATGTTAAGATTATTATATTATAGATATATACACATGCTATATGGATGAACTTACATTTGATGGCTTAATTTTGTTGATTTTTGATTCATTATCATTCTCAAGATCTTTAAACTATAATTAGAAAGACATGTTAGTTCATGTAAACAAAGAATAAAAGAGTGCACACGAAAATTTATCTTACCTCAGACAGTGAAGGAACTGTTATTTTGACTGGAGCTCGACCTCTTTTTATCAGTTTCTCAGCTTTTAATTCAATTTCCTTTTTAGGGAGAATATCATCCTCCTCTATGAAATCCTCTACGTTCCTAGTTGAATTTTTCGGTTTAGGTAGTTTATTGAAATGTATCTTCTCCGAAGATTCATTTATTTCGGTTATTTGCATGTCAGTACTAGTATCGTCAATTTTATCATTATCTGTATCATATCTTGGTGCAGGTAAACGTAGTTTATCGTTTGTTCGTTGAACTATAACCTCTGATGTAATTATATTTTCGTTTTCTGTATCACAATTTATACCTTCATCGTCTGAACTTTCATCACTACTCCCATACGCAACAAGACTCATTTTTAAAAAATGATATCCTTTATTTTAATAGAACTTATTATTATTTATTTCTATAATATGGATATAACTGTCTGATTTTGTACCACACTACTGGTATAATGTATAATATACTCTCTATCTCTACTGCGCACGCCCCAAAATCCCACGTTGTGCCCAAAACTGACCAACATGGGTTAACTACAGTTAACCACAGTTAACAAAAAATGTATTGAGTGATCCCGCCATGTTTTCTCTCTGTGGATAGTATACATTTATCTTGTTTATACAACTTTTAATGAACAATTCAAGTTTAACATTTTTTCTACATTGAAGAATATCAAGTAGCATTTTAAAAATCCTGTATTTTCATTATCATTGTCATTCGTGCATCGCTATTGATTATGTATAGATTTTTTGAGGTTATTTCGTGTAAGAGATTGAACTGATCATCAGGAAATCATTACACGAGACTCAAGAAATATATCATCGTGAGTATTGTTTCTAATAATACATAAGACAAAAAATTTTTACACAATAAAAGACAGAAAAATATTAGTTGTTATCGAATTTTGCAAAATTATTGTATCTTAACGAAATCATTGTACTCTTCGTTTAATTGAATGAACCTGTTCTCAAATTTCAGGAAATGAAGAGATCACATTCTAAACGAGATGGAGATGATTATGAACACAAAGATCATTCCAAAGATTATGAGCATGATTATGAACCACATAGAGATCGAGAACGAGGAAGAGATCGTGATCGTAATCATCATCGGGAAAGAAGGGATCGGGATCGTGATCATAATCGCCATCGGGACCAGAATCGGGATCGAGAACGCAATCGGAATGGAGATCGAGAACGCAATCGCGATCGGAATCATTACTACAATGATAGGAGTAATTCCTACAAAAGAAATCTTGATTCCGAGAGATCGGATATGGAAATGCGATCATATGAACTACGCGATGAAAAAAGGTCAAGAGACTACGATAAAGAAAATAGAAGAAGATCAGAGAAAAATGTAGAAGAAACAGAAAAGAAGCAAGAGGTGAATGTTCCCGATGAGACGACGGAGAGACAAAATCGAACTGTCGAATTATTGACGTCTAGGACAGGTGGTGCTTATATACCACCTGCAAAATTACGCATGATGCAGGCAGAGATTACTGACAAATCAGGAGCCGCGTATCAGCGTATCGCATGGGAAGCGCTTAAAAAGTCAATACACGGTTATATTAATAAAGTTAACATTAGTAATATCGGTCTCATAACTAGAGAACTTCTGAAAGAAAATATTGTTAGAGGTAGGGGTTTACTTGCTAGGTCCATTATTCAAGCTCAAGCTGCATCGCCAACGTTCACAGCCGTTTACGCGGCCTTAACTGCTATCATTAATTCGAAATTTCCTAATATCGGAGAATTGATATTGAAACGACTCGTTATACAGTTTAAACGTGGTTTTCGAAGGAACGACAAACCTCTTTGTATATCTGCAGGAACTTTTATAGCGCATTTAGTGAATCAAAGAGTTGCGCACGAGATTCTAGCCTTAGAAATTTTGACACTGTTAGTAGAAACACCGACAGACGATTCTGTGGAAGTAGCAATCGCCTTCTTGAAGGAATGCGGTATGAAACTAACGGAAGTCTCTAGGAAGGGTATTGAAGCTATATTTGAAATGTTGAGAAACATATTGCACGAAGGGCAATTAGATAAAAGAGTACAGTACATGATAGAAGTTATGTTTCAAGTTCGAAAAGACGGATTTAAAGATCATGAAGCTGTCCCGGAAGATCTTGATCTCGTGGAGGAAGAAAATCAATTTACCCATATAGTTACACTGGACGAAGCTACTGATGCTCAAGACATTTTAAACGTTTTCAAATTCGATGCGGAATACGTTAATAACGAAGATAAATATAAACAGTTAAGTAAAGAAATATTGGGCTCTGATGCTAGCGGTTCAGAAAGCGAAGGGGAAGATGACGAGGAGGAAAGTTCCGATGAAGATAGTAGCACCGCTGTGACAGAGGGAAAGGAAGATGTAATCGTGGACAACACTGAAACTAATTTAACGGCTCTTAGAAGGACCATATATTTAACGATACACTCGTCGCTTGACTTCGAAGAGTGTGCCCACAAATTAATGAAAATGCAATTGAAACCCGGCCAGGAGATCGAACTTTGCCATATGTTCTTGGACTGTTGCGCGGAAATGCGAACGTACGAAAAGTTCTTTGGACTGTTGGCCGGTCGGTTTTGCGCTATTAATAAGATGTATGTTACCCCGTTCGAGCAAATATTTCAAGACTCGTATCATACAATACATCGATTAGATACAAATAAGTTACGCAACGTATCAAAGTTTTTCGCTCATCTGCTATTTACGGATTCCATATCTTGGGAAGTGTTATCTTGCATTAAATTAACCGAGGAGGATACCACGAGTTCTAACAGAATATTTATCAAAATCTTATTTCAAGAACTGTCGGAGTACATGGGATTATCCAAGCTTAATCAACGCGTGAAAGACGTCACGTTGCAACACGCGTTTGAAGGATTGTTTCCGCGAGACGATCCGAAAAACACTCGATTCGCTATCAATTTCTTTACGTCTATCGGATTAGGCGGGCTCACGGATGACTTAAGAGAACACTTGAAGACTCATCCGAAGCCTACCATAATATCTGCGTTACAACAAAAACCTGAAAATGCTACGGAGTCATCGATAGACTCTTCTCTTTCTACTTCAAGCTCGCCGACGTCGTCGTCCTCTTCCTCATCAAGCAGTTCGAGTTCAGACGAATCCTCGGATGAGGAGTTGAAAAAACAAAAGAAAAAATCGAAGAAAGAACGAAGAAAGAAGCAAATGGCGAAGGAAAGCAAAAAGAAGCATAAGAAGAAAGAGAAAGTAAGAAAGGCGAAGAAATCTAAATAGAATTTAGGCTGTTAAAATACTTAGTAAATATTATTGCCTCTTTTCAATGTAATTATTTCTTGAGAGCGTGTACTCGTCTAGAATTGAACATAAACATTGACTAAGAGAAGCATTTATATTAATTCTTGGTGACGCAGGCGTATACATAATACCTCTTAAAATAATTTCTTAATTTAAATAAATATATTTTCACTAACACTTTTTGTATAATTTATTTGAAACGAATAAATAGTTCTCGCATCATGTTGCACGAGATTTGTGAAATTATAAACGCTATAAATTAAGAAACTGAAATTCCATACAAATGACTTCTAAGAAATTATTTTATATTTTCTACTACATTTTGCTTCTTAAAATAATGCACTGTTCCAAGAAACAGTTTTATGTACCGAAAATATGAATCATATATTTCTATAAGATCAATATAAAAAACATCGAATTAAAATTTTTCATTTGTGAGGAGACAATGTAAACATTTTCATTGGAAACGACGAGCTTTAACGCGTACGGCGTATATTAAATTTGCCCTGACAATGAACGCGGAATAGATGCGGCTGATGCGGCTATGGCTATATCCATGTGGGTGTAAAGCATATAGGTGTAGGCTATTTTGACGGGGGTGTCACGTGATTAAATACTTAGTCGTCGCCAACACGGCTGTCGTCGTTCCGACTAGACTGACACTATGCCACAACCCGTAGATACGACGCAGACTCAACCATTCCCTGTCTCTTTCAGAGGCAAACGCGATCTCGGCTAGCCGATCTGTAACATGGATATGCACTTATACATATATACATACATGCAGCTGTTTGGTCACATGTATGTGCGTGCATGCACAGCACACACCACGTTGATAGCAAATACGAAAGTACGATAGAGACGAAACTGCTAACGTGGTAGACATACAGAACGCGGTAGGAGGTCATAGATAGGCGTTATGCTACGGGTCGGTAGACGAGACGGTGTTAACAACGAGGGTTATAGTGAACGTTTCGCTTGGCGACATGATCGGCTCGTACTCGTTCAAGCATCGAGACCCGCCTAGTGTTCTTAGCGATTATTTATCGTCGTCCGAACGGCCAACATGAGTACTTGGGACGATCGTACGTACGTGCGTGCATACGTAAAGGTGTGCGCAATTAAGAGTACAATGCTCTGTATGGTAAAAAAAGTACACAATGATACACGGCCTTTTGTGATGTCTTCCCGTTCCCGTGTTTACACACGCGCGCGATTATAGTGTATGTACTCGGTACATGCGTACGCGTATGTGTGACGGGAGAGAGAGAGAGAGAGAAAGAGAAGCAGCAAAGCGGAGAGTATTTGTACCACAAAAAAGACGTACTGGAGGGAAGAAGGAGGGGCGAAAGGGAAGAAGAATATACACTACACGCGCATGCAATCGCCGACGAAACGTGTTGCCATGAGATGATGTGCGGGCATATACGCGTTGAATAAGTATCGCGGAAACCTATTTATGTGTGTATCATATCGCGCAACGTGCACGGCCGCGGCGCGAGTGATCGATGTCGGTTCTCGCGTTCGTTTTAATCGACACACCACCGTCCGATGCCATGAAAAATATGCATGTCCTTTCGTCGAGTGGTTTTTCGTTTCTCGGACTGCTGTGCGCGATCAATACCTCAGTCGGTCGTCGCCGCGGAGTGCCAAGTCAGTTCGTCATCGTCTAACGATGTCACTCATCGTCGCGGTGATTATGTCGATCGATCGAACGTGTAATCAATTTTATTGCTACGACAAATAGCATTAACAGAAAATTTATTTCGCCTTATTCTGTCCTCCTGGCTGCTGCTGATGCGATCGTCATAGTGAACGACGACGACGGTGGTGTCTGGTGTCGGTGTCGGTGGTATAGTAGTGACAGTGGCGACGACAGTGGCGGTGATTGTGACGGCGGCGACAGCGATAGTAGTGGTAGAAATAGCTATGGCTGTGGTGGTGGCGGTCGAATGGCGGTCGCGGTGGCGATCGTGATAGCAGCGACTGTAGCGACGGTAGAGACGATAATATCAAAGACAGTGACGATAGTAACGAGCACGGCAGTGATAACCAAGTTCGCGAAACAATGGATATGCGTTACCTGGACGTATCTATAATCTTTATGAAAATAACATGAGAGATGGAAAAATATGCAAACGAAATCAGCGCGAGGGAGATAGAAAGAGAAGAAGCGATCGAGTCGAGGATATTCGTGCTTCGTTCTCGTCAAGCGTTTCGTTCTCATTGAGGAAAATCTAGGAGAAGGAACGGACACGGATTAACCAGTGGTGTGATAAATGGAAAAGTGATCGAGAACGAATAACAATCAAATAAACAACAATTAACAAATAACAATTACAATCGTTTCAGTGTAGATTATCGTTCTCTACGGATCTGTGTATAAACTCGTTCGGGCAAAAACGAATTATCATGTACATGGAAGCGACGTTGCGATGGACAATAGACTGCGGATAATAGATAGCTGGATCTCGCCGCGTTGAATATTACGCCAAGGGGTGCAGGTCTTGGGAGAAAACACATGAACGGGTTACGCTTATTCTCTCGTCTCCTGTACCAAAAGAGAAGTGATGGAGATGTAACTGCATCCCTGCCGAGACAAACACTGTACCCATCTCGCATGCTTGTTAGTGGTTTTGTTTCATTCGGCTGGACGAATGATATGTCGTCGCGTTAAGTGTCGGGAAAGTGAATTGCGTGTAGATTTCGTGTCCATACTAAAAGTGTAAATAAATACCGTCTATATGGCTCGCGTGAAATAGCGTGGTGCGTGGCACGAGCTGTTTCAAGTACTGGTTAACCCGTTGAATCATTTTACGCATCGATACGAATAATGGAGACGTTATTGCCTGGCAATGCAAATAGCCAATCGTACAGCCCACAATTAAAAACCGTGTTGAAGACATATCAGCTATCCGCTGTGAAAAGTTTACAAGGTCCGAGCTCGGCCCTGCTTGGCATGGACTGCAAGAGTCTTCTGCAAGAACAGACGCCTTGTTACTCTCCCACGAACAGGTCGAGTAATTGTGTCACCGATTCATCACTGGACCAGGTTCCAGTGAAGGAAGTTGAAAAGGAGAAGAGTTCATCTGTAACACCTATCGTTCCATGTAAAGTTCGCAGAACGGATCAACCACTGGAAGACTCCGACGAGGACCCGCAGTTGGAGCGTTCGAAGAATGTGTGCGAGAAGAGAGAATTAGAATTTCAAATCCCTATATTAACAGCTCCTGACCAAAGCTGCTCTGAGAGGTGCGAAACAACGCTGGAAGGTGAGAGGATATCGTGTTTTGTTGTCGGTGGCGAGAGGAGGTTATGTTTACCACAGATACTGAACACGGTGCTGCAGGAGTTCTCGCTCCAACAGATAAATCAGGTCTGCGACGAACTGCAGATTTATTGTTCGCGGTGTACGCGTGATCAGTTGGAGGAACTGAAACATTCGGGAATTCTTCCGCGTAACGCTCCTTCCTGTGGCCTTATCACTCAAACGGACGCCGAGAGACTTGTCAGTGCTTTGCTTTTACGGACAGAGTCTTGTGATCAATCGGCTCAAATCGGGCAGAATCAAGATACTGTCGAGAAGAAAGTGAGCGTGAAAACGGATAACGACGACGAAGTGATCACCAAATTCAAAGTCTATCACGAATGTTTCGGTAAATGCAAGGGCATATTCGATGCAAATTTGTTCGAATCCGACGATTCGGTGTGCATAGAGTGTGTCGAATGCGGTTGCCAATTTTCACCACAACGTTTTGTTAGACACGCTCATAGATCTCTTGAAAATCGTACCTGTCATTGGGGATTTGATTCTGCAAACTGGCGATCGTATCTGTTACTCTCGCGGGATCAAGAACATTACAACAAATCGCTTACGTCGTTCAGAGAACTGAAGGAGAAACATCTCACGTTGGGTTCCAAACGAAAGTCAGAGGTATCATATATTTTTGTTATTTTTAGAAACTTGTTCCTTGAACTATATGCAAAATTAGTAGTTACGGGAAAGATCATGTAATACTACTTGTGTATTGAAAGGACAATGCGATAGAAAAGAGAAAATAAAGAACCCTTTTTCAGTTGCGGCATGATTCAGAGAAGTTAAAGCGAATCAGAAAGGACGTGGGTAGAGACGATTGTCCAGGAATATATAATGGAAATGGTTTAGGCATGTACCATCCTGTATCTCACGTAGCTAACGCAACTGATCCATATCTGCGAATGCAATGGGCAGTCTTTGAATTAGCAGCCAGAGGAGCATCAGCTTTTAGGCCTTGGAACACCACAAATGCTTGCAAGCATAAGGATAAGTAAGTGTGCTGAACGAATACGAATAAAACGATTCAATCATATGTCTTTCTTAATTACAATGCGATGCGTTATACTAAGTAGACCATTTTCTGTAAACAGTTCGACATTGGTGCCTGCGTATCTTAGTCGAGGCCCACCTGTCTTACAACATCCTGAGCGCGTGGTTCCCCTGTCCGAGTGCAAACGTTTTGAACCACACTTTCAACCGAACGTAGCCTTAGCACCGATATCTGCGCCATCAGTGCCTGTAGCACCTCCACCATCTGCTCACCATCAACGGCGACATCACCATGAACATAAACGCTATAACCATCACTCGTCGAGTCCTAGCGAGAAGAAAGAGCCATCATCGGATGTCGTCGTTAAAATCGAGAAACCGTTATCGGGCACCGTGTCAACGGTTGCCACGTATTCCGCATTCCCTGCTTACGGACCTGGAAGCGATCAAAAGGAATCGCCGCAGGAGAGTAAACACGAAACGATAGGTGAAGAGGAGGAGAGCAGTGCCGCGGTAACGTCTTCGACGATAAATATAGAACCGCCTTCGGTTGAAATTGGAACTTCCTCGTTAGAAAGTGATTCCGATTCCGAAGGTACGGCGGCGATAGATTTGGAGGAGAGGCTAGTCGCGTTGAAGGTGCCCCAAGACGTCCTGGAACTGGCGCGACGTATTGTTTCAGAAAATGCACAATTACGACGTAACCGATGTTCGGACGCGCGCGAAATATCACGGTTACGCAATGAATTGCAAATGCAACAAATACAATCATCGAACGATGGTGATAAGAAGGAGGAACCTACGACGAATGCAGCGAGTGCGGCGGACAGCACGGCAGAGGATAGCGAGGATACGGAAGCTATATTACCATCAAATACCAATAAAGAGTCTGAACCCGTTGTTCTACCCGTTAGTAATGAATAAAATTAATGATTAGAATTTTTTAAATTATTTAACTACAAAACTGCTCAGCAATTTTTTGCAACGTTCGCCCGGCGTCGAGCGAGCGCGCATTAAATTTAGTAATAGTTATAATAATGATAAATTCTAAATGAATAAAAAACTGTTTAGGTTTATGTGATATATAGAAAGCCTTTAATGTTGTAATCGTTTATTTGAAATTTTTATTGTAATCGTACTTTGGATTACTTTATCGACTTTCATTGAAATCGAGATTGTAGATATTGTAATATACGGAACATGTATGGAAAAGCAACATAAATTAATCAAGGTTTAACAGTTATTATACTTAATGGTGTTTAAAAATAAGGTCTATTGTTGCATATTACATATGCAGACAGCAGGACGGTTTTTTCAAGTTGAATTAATTCAACAGTTAAATGATGATCAGGAAACAAGAGATTAAATTGCTTTCCGTTTAATTTTTTTTATAGTCATCATTGCATAATGTAAATACAATTCAATTATCATAGATATGTATGTTTATATTGATAATATTGTCATGCAAAATATTGCTAAAGTACAAAAAATCTTTAGGTGCTATATTGTTACATTAGGAATGTTCTAAGCATAAACTTAGGTGTATTTCAGCAGATCGTACTACATAATATATCGTATACGTTCATTATGCTTCAGTTATCGCTTTAAGGCGTTTAATTGCAATGCAATTTTATTTCTCGCTAATCAACTTAATCATCAGTGATCGCAAGTGAAAAATAAGTTAATTATTATTATTTAAAACGTTTCGAATCGGTGAATTTATTATTACTCAAGTG